CATCTTTCCTTAGGCTAGAAACTGATTGCTGCGCTCACCTGTGACCGCCCAGCTCGAGACAATAGACTTGCCTCCTGCTACACCCACGAAGATAGCAGACCCACTACCTGCTGTGTCCATCAAGCGCTGTGCAGACAGGGCAATCTTGTGACTATTGTGGGAGGAGCATTTCAATCATATGTGAAACACCCTCTTTGAGGGTATATAACCACCCTGTGTACCCCCACTTCTTTGGAGTGCTCTGTTCCTTTGTGGAAAGACTCTCCCGGGTTATAATCCTCAGATTTCAGCTCAGAATAAACTCACCCAAATTTTCATTTACAGATTGGTTATGGATTATTTTCGTTGACAGTATCCATGTATTATCCATTGATTCATTCATTCATTTCTTCAGCAATTATTTAATTAGCACATCCTACATCACAGGCACTGTGATAGGCACTGGGGGATATAACAATGAACAAGATAGAGGCCTGGCTATGGAGAGGCATCTAGTAAGGGTTATGAACAAACAAAGATGATTTTGGTATCATGAGATAGGGGCTACGAGCAGGGTAGACACTGGGTGCTATGGAAGGACCTAGCAGTGGCACCTAACTCAGTTAGGGGACAGGGTGTCATAAAAACATGCCTGATGCAGGCACTCAATGCATATTTATTTTCAATTGTTGAAGTTCAGCAATTTGGCCTATGTCACTCAATTGTTGGGACTAATGTAATTTGTCTGAAGATTATTTGAGGGCACCATACTCAAAAGTTATTTATTTTCATAGATATATTTGCTTGTTTAGTTGGTTTTGTTTTGCCTGCAATGAAAATACATTCTCACCAATAAGAGCCAGGCTCTTGTGGTTCAGATATCTGGGCCCTTCTGCAGCGATGATTTTCTCAAACAGATTAGCCTACTTTCCCACCCAATAATTCTTTATTAAAAATTAAAAAGTGGAATAAATTACTAGGGTAGCTAAGTTTAAATATCAAAAAATATTATACTGGAAAGATATATTTATAGAGCCAGACGTAAAGAAAACAAATATTAAGATACAATTTGGTGCTTTTCTTCCTTATCTTCAGTTATTACCAGCCATGGATAATCCACTGTTTCCTTCCCACGAAAACCTGAAAGAGCGCACAGACGCTGGAACAAAAGTGATCTTTGGGCCAATGAAATGGCTGCTTAGAGATGAGTCTGTGGCCTCTCTAGGAATCCCAAGTGGCACAGATGGAAAAATTAGTCCGTTAGGAAAGTACACACGTAATCACTAACCCTTATTTCAGTTAAGATACATGCTGGTAGACAGAAACAAGACCAGCATTCCAGAAGAAAGTCCTCACACAGGCAGAGCAATTTTCATTAGTTGAGTATGGAGACTAATTAATATGCAAATGAGGAGTTTACCAATATTAATCATCTATTTTACTAGGCGGCTTTTACTAAAGAGTTTCTAACGAGTTTGCAAATTAAGTTTCTTTGACATTAAAAATCAGCTAAATGCCTATCTGAGAATAATCTCTTCTAACTCAAGGGCAGGAAGGGGAGATTTTTTGGGGGGCACGAAAAACAGTCGTGTTTAACACTAAGTCCCATGTTGGCAAGCATCGTGCAAGAGTTCCACATCAACCCTCTCCAGGCTCTAATGAAAACCAATTCGGCGAGAGAGACAGCAGAAAACAGTTGAAACAAGAGACAAATATGAGTCATGGTAATTTAAAGGTCCAGGACCTAGAAAGCTACATCATAAAATGTGTCTAATTTGGTGACTGCATTGTTAAAACCCAAAAGAGGTTATGAACATTTTTTACACTCCCTTTGATGGCCATTAGCATATCCCTGTGCTGCTCTTTTCTTAGAAATGCTGAAGATTGGGTTGGATTCTGATTTATCACGGATGATTTGAAGTGTGGAGATGGATTACAAAGTTTTCCTGTGGTCACTTTAGTTTTAGGATTCATTTTCATTCAGTTTGTAAAAAAGTGTTTAGGCTTAAGCCCCATTGTGTAAATCATTTTCAGTGTCAGCTAAGTCCATTATTGTGCCATTCAGCCATTAATACAAAACAGTAAAATACAAATTAATACAGTACCTTTAGATTCCTTACTCCCAGGAGGAATGTCAGGAAGAAAACTCTGTAAAGGAGACAATAGACTGGATTCACATCTCTGAACCTCTGCTCCGCTGATTGAAACACACAATTGCCCTTAAAAAAATGTTTTCTCTCCCACGATAGCCCTATGGAAATTCCAAAGAAGCTCTGAAGTGATACACTTTCAATCAGCTAACAATCGGTGTTTCTTCTCAAATTTTGCTCCTCTTTCCTCCCTCCCCACTTTTCTATAGCTATCAGCTGAAAGGTACCAGGCTAGACGAATTTGTTGCTGGCAATCTGCTTGTTCATTCATTAATTTATACAATAAATATTTGTTGATGGGGTTGAACCAAGGTGCTGAGCACCTCCCGCTGTATCAGGTACTTGCGGGATACAAATATGTATTATTAGCAGTTTCAAGAGCCTTACAGTCTACTAAGAAAATAAAACATGTTCCCAATAAGCCTGCTTTGAAGTATTATGTGATAAAAGTAATGAGAGTTGCATGTTTTGTGCTTGCTGCCAATGACTGAACAATCTTGTGAAAACATCCTGCCTCAATCTCTTTCTTTCTTTCTTTCTTTTTTTTTTTTTTTTGAGGGAGATTAGCCCTGAGCTAACTGCTGCCAATCCTCCTCTTTTCTCTGAGGAAGACTGGCCCTGAGCTAACATCCATGCCGATCTTTCTCTACTTTATACATGGGACGCCTACCACAGCATGGCTTGCCAAGCGGTGCCATGTCTGCACCCTGGGATCCAAACCAGCAAACCCCAGGCCGCCAAAGTGGAACGTGAGCGTTTAACCACTGTGCCACCTGGCCGCCCCCAATATCTGTCTTAATATAGCAGAGATAGTGAGCTATATGGGAGAAAAGGATATCATTGCTTATTTATCACTTTTAAGTTTTTACAAGTTGAAACTGGCTAATGCAGCCAACACTGGAAGTGGTTCCCACCTTTTCCTTCTTAGAGGAAGACCTTTCTTCAGTCTATGGATGTGTTTTCTTGCTCGCTGGTGATGATGAGGCAATGAATGGCATTCGCTTAAAGATGTCTGGTCCAGGATCTCCGGACTGTATTGTTCAGTCTCCATTATAATCCATGCTTGTCCAAAGCCTTATTTCTTTTGGTCAATGCCTATGCTAAATGTCATGGCTGGTGGAAAACACTGCTGGGTTCTGATTCATTTAAATTCATGGCAAAAAGAAAGTCCTTAATCAAAGGCAGAAGACAGATTTTGCAAAGAAATAACGGCCAGAAAATTAATCCAAAATGCGCTTGGTTTGGGCTTCTGTGCAAGCGCCACTTGGCGGCAGGTCTGGACTCGAGGTTCTGGGAGTTGCAGGAGTGGAAAATGGAAATGGCTCATCCGCACCTGCCCTTTCTCCAGAGATTTGGCTCATCCTCTCCCATGACACGCAGGGCCAGTCCACACTCTGGGAAGGAAGGCTGCCGGCCACCCCTCGTCATGCCCAGGCCCAGCAGCCTGGTCCTACAAGTCACTGTCACTGAAACTGTCTTAAGTATTTTACAAATAACTGTATGATTGGTTATAGGATGTATTTCTGTGGTTTTTGTAAATTCCCATCTTTTGCTCTAGAACAGCTCTGTCCAATAGAACTAGTTCTGCAGTGACAAAAATGTTCTATAAATCTGCGCTGTCCAATACATTAGCCACTAAGCCACTAACCACTTGTGGCGATTCAGCACTTAGAGTATGGAAATGAATTTTTAATTTTAATTAATTTTAATTTAAACGTTTTAGTAGCTACCATAATGGACAGTACAGCCCTATAAAATGATCCTATGATAATGACACAATTTTGACTGAGGTGCATGAACTAATTCTCTTAATTTTGACATAAAGAGAAAGAAGAAAAGCCTGAAATTCCCCGCCATCCCCCTCCAGCATTCAGGTGGCATCTCTGGCTGTGTCTCCTCAAAACCCAAACACCAAGATGAAAAGAAAATAATTTTAAAAAGCTAGATGTTTCTACCAGATGATTACCTAGGTGTTTTGAATATCAGTAGGTAATTATAGCATCAGACATCTTCATATCCTCAGTTAACATTTTTAGGCAATTGAAAGTGATGCATTCTGATCCGGGAAATTCTGAGGAAAAATACTCAGCCCTTCTGCTGTAGATGAAAAAGGCTTTAAGCTCAATTGTCTAGATTGAATATATAACTGACCAACTCCTCACTTGGTCTTTTCCCCATTTATTATACATCTTTGCATCCCACTCCTAGCCATAGACAAGGAAGATTGCAATTTACTAGTCTTCCATCTTAGGAGCAACGTAAGGGTATAATAGGACCTTCTAAGCAGGACAAAAGAAAACTATTAGAATACAAATAAAATAAATGCAAACAATAATATTAATAACTTTTAGATAATTAATTCAAAGTGCTGTTTGGATCAGACTCCTGAACAACTTGGTAGCATGTCTATGCTGGAGCTAAATTTGCTTGAAAATTATGGAATCAAGTACTATTGATGATAGATTCTAATGAGAAATGAAGACTATTAGCTCTTGAGTGGTAATAAAATTGAGACTAAGCACAAATGATACAAAGCAGCATAGAATCCGAAAATTTTTATTTTAGGTCTTGTGATATCCTGAAATGTAACGTACAGGTCGTGTCTATGAAAATGCGCTCAATATCCGCAACAGAATTAGAAGTGACCAGAGAGGGGCCGGCCCGGTGGCGCAGTGGTAAAGTGCGCACATTCTGCTTCAGTGGCCCGGGGTTCACTGGTTCAGATCCAGGCTGCGGACATGGCACCGCTTGGCAAAGCCATGCTGTGGTAGCCGTCCCACATATAAAGTAGAGGAAGATGGGCACGGATGTTAGCTCAGGGCCAGTCTTCCTCAGCAAAATGAGGAGGATTGGCAGTAGTTAGCTCAGGGCTAATCTTCCTAAAAAAAAAGAAAAAAGAGAAGTGACCAGAGACTCCATGGGTCTAATTCTGATGACCGGAAGCAAGCTCTCCTGAGATGCTGACTGCACTTCTGAGCCCCCTTCCCCTGCCTGACCCATCCTGATCAGGCCGGACACATACAACAGATGAGAATTTTGACGCTTTAAAATCTGCCACCACCCAGGAGTATGGTTGATTTGGACTAGACTGAAAAATATAGTTGTTCAGGGAAGCAGGGAGTCCAGCCAAATTTGAGGTATGGGCTTCAGAGCACCTGCTCCTCTGGCTGCTTTAATATAGCTCCTGGCAAATCGACCCACTTGTTTACACAGCCTGCCTCACCTCACAGGATTCTTTGGAGAATCAAATGAGATCCCGAGAGAGTTAGACTCCTACGGTGGAAAGAGCAGTCAGATGATCGAAAATACCTGAATTCTAATCCTGGGACTTGACTTAATTTCTCTGAGTTTTTGTGTTCTTCTCTGCAGAATGGGGGTAGGAATATCCGCTCTGTATATCTCACGGAGTTGCTGCACGTATCACGTGAGACGATCTATGTGAACACACTTTTTAGCCCCGATTCTGTTATGGACGGAGACTTCCGGTCACTGTTTACTAGGTGAGAATCATTTACTTTTATCTAATCCCTCAGTCACCAGTTGCACATATACACAAAATGACTGGTTGGAGTTAGTGGTGTGGTCTGTGAAGGTGAAACTGAGTGAGACAAGAAGAACCGTAAAAGGCCCCAAATCTGAGGCCTTGACTTCATTAAGCAGGTGCAATATTCATCAGTGTGATCCATCTTCAGTCAAATGCAGCCTTCTGACCTTTTGCCAGCTTAGCCACGCTGTCAGCAGCTGAGGGCCCTGCCAAAGGGCAGGGGGAGGGAGCCCCAGGTTGCCCACATTTCAGATTCTCTCAGGAATATTCAAGAAGGACTGTAAAAGAAACCTGCAGCCTTGTAATTTTACTTCGAAAAGCAAAAAAGCTCCCAGATAGTGAGCATTTTGCTCTAATAAGAACTGTAGGATTGATTAGGTTCAAACTGTTAACAGACATCCTTCTGGTTAATGAAGCAGCATTGAGAATGCCTTTCGATTCTTTGGAAACTTAAATCATACAAAGGCAACAAGGAGCAAGAAAAGAACTGGAGGTACGATGGATTAAACTGTCTGCTAGTTAGTATACTCAAGATAATGAACAAAAAACGTTCTTTGAAAAGTTAATATTTATTGAGAGTCACTCTGCAATGGGCAAATAAACTTTGATGATTATTGTTAAAACATTCTTTGGGGTAACGTTTTTTCTGTGAATCTTGAGTGGGGGACAGAAGCTTCTGCCATTTTAATTCCTTTGTTAATGTCTTTATGAATGCAATTAACACTTCATTCACGCTTCTTTGTTTCTGGATCCCATTAGGATGTGGTTTATGCCAGTTTCTCTCTCCCAGGAGACAGCCCGCATCACACAGCATTTCACTCAGCTATGTGGATGAGCACTGACAAACTCAATTTTCCAAAGGCAAGAGTGAGTTGACACCATGCTGTGGCAGTTGTCCTGATGGGGACAAATGACTTGTTTCATTCCAAGGTGGAACCCACCTTCTCAGAGAAGCACGCTTGCACCTAAGAGTATGGGAGACAAGGAGGTGAGAACAGCTTCCTGCCTGACACAACGTAAAATCACTGCAGGTCAAGAAATGCTACGAACCAAGGCCTTAAAAAGGAAAGCCAGCTCTTGTCAGGAAAGGCAGAAGGCTGCTGTCATCTTCGTCAAATATTTAGTGAGAGCTGACCAGCTAGAAAGTAAGAGAAGAGCCCAAAAGTAGGGGACACAGTCTCTCCCCTCTGGAGCTTACAATTGAAATGAGAAGCAAGAGATATCCATAGCAAATGTATCAGCAAGGGTGGAAGACAGTCTCCAAAGAGATGTGTAGACCATAAGAGCATTAGGAGTTCAGGTCCCTGAGCGATGGCAGAGGCGGGGGAAGCTTTTCTGAGGAGGTGGGACTTAAAGGGAAAGCGGTTCCCCTGGCCATCTGGAGGCCACTGGGAAAGAGGGGTGGGGGCCGGGAATCGCAGAGAGAGAAAGGGAGGCAGGTGTCAGCAAAGATGCAGAGGTGCGAAGTGAAGTGAATAAGAGGGTTCCTGTTCATGAGAAAGTATTTTCCCTTTATATTAAAGTCTCTCCTGCGATTGATGGAATCATTTCTATTTCAAATATCAGTGTGATATTTGCTTAACGGCCAAGACCCTGCAGATGAATATATCTGAATCTTACTAAGATACTGTACAGAGGAGCCGGAGGAGGTGTGAGGAACGTCAGAGACAAAGGAAGGAAAGAAAGGAAGCGCTGCCCATCGTTTGAGGTGACTTTTTCTAAAATGAAAAATATTTACTTAGAGGCCTTGTTCCTGTGCCATGATTTTAAGTTTGTTTTCTCTGACAAAGATAAGAAAGAGAGCAATCTTTCTAATAAGTATTATGAAGCATAAAATATTACCAGGAGAGGAAGTGAAACAGCCTATAGCCCCAAGTCATCTGTGCCTAACATTAAAGGTGTGTGAATAAATCAAAGACAGTATTCCATTTGCCATTTGAATACTATTTAATGATGTGATGACTGGTTGTTTTCTTTGCTCTGAGTTTCTCCTCAAATCCAGCCACTGATCCATTAGTTATACCTGCTTGTTACCAAGACCCGCCTCATGTCTCTTTCAACCAGGCCTGGGCCGTTGACGCCATCATGTTCTGTTGTTATAAGGCCCGGATCCGTCTCTGCCCGGTGGGCCAGCCCTCGTGCTTTAAAGCGTTACAGACCACAGTTGTGCCCCGGGACCTTTTTGTATCGAGAAGTCTTATTTTGTTTATATTTCATCATATGTAACTGCTTTTCGTGGGGAAAATGGCTTCCTGTGCTACAAATAATTCTTGGCCAAAGAACAAGTCACAACTAATGTTACCACTGATCCTAATCAAAGCTTAAAGTGTTAGTAGTTTCAGGAGTGGCTGTTTCTTTTTCTGAAGCAAGTCGTTGTCAATTGTCAGTTTTAGACCTACTCTGTGATTTATTGGAGAAATAACAACTCATTAGAATTACTAAATTAATGCTCACACATTAAAAAGGGAAAGAAAAAAAGGTGATGGTCTGTGTGTATGTGGTAGGACATATTCCAAAGGTCAAAGAAAAAAAATCTTTACTTCTGTCCTTGTGTATTTTTTTTGGATAGAAAAAGGTCAGTGTGCATTCCCTGGCCTCAAGCCACTAGGTAGCTGTGTAAAACATAAGCAGAGTCTGTGCTTTGGCGCATTTGAGAAAGATGTAAATGTGTAAATATGATGGAAGAGGTTTTATTTTTCTTCCCCCTCTCAGGAATGGTCTGACAGCCCCAGGCTGGAGAATGTGTCTTTCCCAAGTGCTCTGTCACCCTGGTAACCATGGAGACCATGACGATCGATTAGATGCCATCTGATCTCAACCTCATAAAAAAAGGCAGCAGATGGCAACCAGGCCACTAGACCTGTCTCAAGAGAGACGCAAAGGAAGAGAGAGAAAGGGAAGGAAGGAGAGGAGAGAGGAGACGTGGTGGGGCAGACTGGAGGAGGGAGAAGCAAGCGCAGAAGCAGCTCTGGAAATGAACAGGGTAGGGAAGAGTGGAAATTTAAACAGAAAACAAGGAAGGCAGGAAGAGGGGAAAAAGGAGATGCAGTGAAAAAATGAAACTAAACCTGACTGTGCAATACATCTCCGTGGTGAGTGGGAGGACAAATCAGAGCAAATCAGCTCTTTCCTAACTTTCTGCTTGTTTGTAGCCTCACAAACACTGTGGCTCCTGGGCCCCAAGCTTCTCTGAGGGCCCTAGCAAGGTTGTGCTTGTGGCTCTCCATATCAGTTGGGATTTGACGCATCCGCAGAAGAATCCTGAGGCCTGGCTGTCAGGAGGAATGTCCCTGATCAGACAGGGTTTGCCCTGGCCTTTCAGATGACCGGATGAGTCAGTACCTCACACGTTTGCCACCCCTTTCCAGCAGTGTTCTAGTGACCCTTCAAAGGAACAAGGGATAACCAGGTCAGCAGATAGCCAAGGTGAAAGAAGATGAGAACAGTTAAGTTAGTCCTGGTAACTTAGGAGTCTTAGCGAGCGTCCCAGAGCAATGTAATCGCTAATATTTATGAAGTGCTTACGATGTGTCAGCCAGTGTGCTAAACACTGTATACAGATTGTTTTCTATAGAGTATTTCATCCCGATAACAATGCTAGAAGATAGGTGCTATTGCTATCCCCATTTTACAGACAGGAACTAAGTCTGGAGAGGTTACCTACCTGCTTAAGGGCACACCTAGAATGCAGAATGTGTGTAACAGCTTATTCATATGGGGGAGGTAGCAGTTTGCTTAATTGCTCTCCTTTTTTTTTTTTCTCTTTCTAAATTTTATTTCGAACTTTTGCTGCTTCGAAAAAATAAGGCATCTTCAATGTAGAAAATTATTTAAAACAAGGGAAAGGAAATAAAAATTACCTTTAATACCATTAGTCAGAGATACGCCTGGCTTGTATACTATACAACATTTTCTATGGGGATACATATACATGTGTATATGTACATATACAAATACATATGTATCCCCATAGAAATACACACACACACACGTTTTAACCAAACATAGCATTAAACCTTAAATACCGTTTGGTTAACCTGTCCTTTTTCCACAATATATCATGAACATCTTTCCATGTTTTTAACTATTCTTCTATTTAATCTTAATTATTTTACAGCATTCTACTGTTTGAAGGTGTCATAATTTATTACACTACTTCCTTATTACTGAATTAATCTATTTCCAGGTTTTTGCTACTATAAATAACACTGTGGTAATTATTCTTCTATGTAAACCTTTTTTGTACTCCTCTAATTTCTCCTTTAGGATATTAACATAATTGCTAGATCAAAGCGTATGTTTTCTTAAGACTTTTTAGTTGAAGTATAACGTATATGCATGAAGTGAATAAATCTTCAGTGCGCAGCTGGTTGAATTTTACATGTGTACACAACTGTATAACCACTATTCTGATCAACGTATCAAACATCGGCAGCACCGCAGGATGCTCCTTCGTGCCCTTCCTAATCAGTACCTACCCCATGTTCTTGACCTTCCTATAAAGGGAATGATAAGGTGTGTATTTTTTTTGCTTCTGGCTTCTTTCACTTAGTACAGTGCCTGTGAGATTCCTCCACGCCGTGGTGTACAGCAGTAATTCATCCTATATTGCTGTGTAGTATTCTAAAATTTTTGAATATACTACATTTTATTGATTCATTTTACTGTTGATGGACATTGAGACTATTACGAATAAAGTTGCTATGAACATTCTTGTACATATGTCTTGGAGGACATATGTGCACATTTTTTTGATGCAAACTAAAAGAGGAATTACTAGGTCGTAGAGTAGGCTGGTGTTCAGCTTTAAATGCAGGGTACACGTTTTGAAAAGTGTTTTTCTTTTTGTTTTGGTCTACTTTTAAATTGGCCTCCAAACCCTCGTACCAATTTGAACTCCAACTGTCCAGTGTTAGGAGAATGCCCTGCTTCACATCCCTACCAGCCGGGGCCAGGCATTCTCATTCTTCTGAATCTCTGTCAGTCTGAGTGATGAAATGGTATTTGGGTGTTTGCATTGTGTTTGATGACCAGGTATGTTAAACAATTCTTGCTGTATTACCAGACATTCTTATTTCTTCTTTCATAAATTGCCCATACATGTCATTGCCCTCTTTGGTATTAGCTTCAGGATAAAGCAAAAAGGTGAAACATAATCCATATAGTCTGAACAAATTCACTGGCATTGTCAGAAGATTCATTGACATTTATGATGAGAACAAATTTACATTCTTTGCATAAGTTGACATCCTGCTCTATATATTTCGGAAGGCAGCTAACATTTACAGAGCACCTATTAAGGAGCACATTTACTCTTTAGAACAGCCCTATTCATTTAATTCTTACAGCTTCATTTAATATCAGTAGTAGAACTTAATTTTCACGAAAGCTGTAAAAGGCACTCACTATTCTGCCGATTTTTACAAATGCAGAAATCAAGGCGCGCAGTCACACAACCATTTAAGCTGTGGACCTGAGATTCAAACCCAGACACTCCAAGTCCAAAGAAAATTTTCTTTCCTCTGCTCTCTAGATACCATTGCCTAGGGCAGTGGCCCTCATTTTTTTTTTTTTTTTTCACTTTACAAACCCTAAGAGGGCTGCTGAATTCTAGACCCCTATTAACTTCCTTCCATCCCCAATGCACATCTACCATTCTACCACCCAAATCCAAAGGAGTGTCAGGATCACTGTGCTGTGGAGGAAAGACTGATAATACAGAAGAGTCCATTTCATTCATTTCACCCATTTTGTACATTTTTCTTTTATTTTTGTGTGTATATGTGTGTATTTTAAAATCTGAGTAATTCAGAGTTGGAGTGAATAGAAGCAGAGGTGGATTGGGGGTTCATCTCTTCCTCAATAAATTATTGCTTTTGGGATCTGAAGCTTATATAATTTAGGAGGTTTTTTAAAAAATAAAAAAAGACAAGATTATCAATACAAATTTAAGTTCAAGATGAGTGTTTATTTAGAATGAGAAAAGAAATTG